AACGCATCATGTGTACGTATTCTAAGTTCATTTAAGCGTTTCTTTACTATGACATTTCTGTTACTTTATTAATTATATGAAATTTTAAAACAATATTTTAAGCCTTCATTTGAATTTTACACTCACAGATGTGTAGTTTTGATTCCTCTCTTGGGTTGTCGGCCCTCCCTAAGTCAACTAAGTAAACTAGGCCTAATTAAGTCTCCTAAGTTTTATACCATTTCTTTATTCACAGTTAGTGTGAAAAATTGGTTTAAGCGATGTCCATGTCACTTATAACGTAGTGTCAATAATTTAATAACAACTTAGGCCTATTCATTACTTGATTTTCATTCATTGCTTGATATACCAGTTTCTTTGTTTTGGTTTAACCTAAAAAATTGGACAGGTATTAACACAGTGATCGCATTACTGCCAAAAAAGTTCATATTCAAAGATATATTAGACCACACCTTAGTCGCTTCTACAACAGCAAACACACGTTTACAGTACGTTTTCTGTGCTTCTACCTAAAAAAGAAATCAAACTGTACAGCGTTATTCTTGCCGTTGATTATAAAACAAAAATTGTTTATTACTTTCCCGTGTGCCTCCAAACCATTGTTTATAAATTGAACCACGTGTTATATTGTTAAATAAATCATTTTTAACTCAATTGCAGAGTTATTCTTGCCTTTGATTATGGTATAACAAATGATTATTACTTCCCCGTGTACCCCCGCACCATTCATTATGGATTGACCAACGTCTAATATTGTTCAACAAATTATCTGACAGCTACAATTCATGTCACTGTCTTATTCCACTGGATTTCATTCTTGTCTGTTATTATCAAGTTTGTCCAAACTAATAATATAGTAATTCTCGAAAACTCCTCCAACATACATAATCTAACTAAAAATTCCGAAACTAGATAAAACATTGAGGAAATATATTTATTTTCGGCTAAAAACGTTATTTGTTTATGTTTATGATCCATACCGGGTATTTTCTAGTATTTATCAGTGCTAGTAATCTACATTTTATATTACATTACAAAAAAAAATTATTATTGGAATATTATATGAGTTTCTAAAAATTTAATATTATGATACAACCGTAGGGGAATAATCTCGATTTTGACGGTTACTCTTCAGGTGTTATGTCAAATCAGCACACTGATAGATAAAGATATTGCAATGATAATTTAATTAAGGAAAGATAAGCATAAAAATTAAATTGTATAACTTAAAAAACGTGTTTGATGAATCCGTTTAACACAATATTTAAACTATATGGGGAAAGCAGTTCATATAATTGGTGTGCAATCTTACGGGGAGAGTCAATATTACTAATTCATAGTTCCATCTGCTTTAGAAAATCAATCAGCTTGTAATTGGATTATGTAAGTGGATAATCATCTTTGGTCATATGTATTCAGGTAAGTTAAGTGTGTACTTACCTGTTAGCCAATTATGTCCAATGTAGAAAGTGTTGCAGGGTGTTGACCCCAATCTAACTCAAAATATAAAAATAATATATATTTTATACCCACTCCCCAGATCCATATACCCCCACCCTAGATCGAAAACTATAAATGTTGGAAGGACGGGGTTTGCGCCATTGAATTTCTCGACCCCAAAATAGGGTAAAAAACTACATCACAACCCCTCATACATCCCAGAACACGTATTTTATACCCACTCCCCAGATCCATATACCCCCACCCTAAATCGAAAACTATAGATGATGGAGGGACGGGGTTTGCGCTATTGAATTTCTCGACCCCAAAATAGGGTAAAAAACTACATCACAACCCCTCATACATCCCAGAACACGTATTTTATACCCACTCCCCAGATCCATATACCCCCATCCTAAATCGAAAACTATAGATGATGGAGGGATGGGGTTTGCGCCATTGACTTTCTCACCCCCAAAATAGGGTAAAAAACTATATCACAACCCCTCATACCCTCCCGAACACGTATTTTATACCCACTCCCCAGATCCATATACCCCCACCCTAGATCGAAAACTATAGATGATGGAGGGATGGGGTTTGCGCCATTGACTTTCTCACCCCCAAAATAGGGTAAAAAACTATATCACAACCCCTCATACCCTCCCGAACACGTATTTTATACCCACTCCCCAGATCCATATACCCCCACCCTAGATCGAAAACTATAAATGTTGGAGGGATGGGGTTTGCGCCATTGACTTTCTCACCCCCAAAATAGGGTAAAAAACTATATCACAACCCCTCATACCCTCCCGAACACGTATTTTATACCCACTCCCCAGATCCATATACCCCCACCCTAGATCGAAAACTATAGATGATGGAGGGATGGGGTTTGCGCCATTGAACTTCTCACCCCCGAAAATAGGGGGTATCCATGGTTTTGTACTGCTTTATAGACAAAATTTCGAAAGCTATATACATTTAGCAAATGGGGGGGGGGGGTGTCGCCCCCTTACAGGTCAAGGAGGGCAATATAACTGTTGTAAAGGGTGTATTTGTATTTAGGAAAACATAACAAATCAATATAATAGGGAAGAAAAAATATTTTGGCTGGGGGGGGAATTCCCCCCCTTGTAAGTAGGAAGGGGGGGGGGTTAGGTCGCCGGCGATGGTTCCATTGGATTTCTCACCCCAAAAATAGGGGATATTTATTATTTTTGTACTGATTTACCGACATATTCTCCAAAATTATATATATTTAGTCAAAGGGGGGGGGGAGGGTCTTGCCCTTACAGTACAAGGGGGCAGTATAAGTGTTAAAATGAGTTTATTTGTATGGAGGATAATATAATAAATAAATACACATGAAAACAAATATATTTTATTCAAAGAATATCCATCTACCCCTTGTAATTAGAAAGGGGGGGCTCGTAGGGGGACGGCGATGGTCCCATCGAATTCCTCGCCCCAAAAATAGTAGGGCTACATGGTTTATACAGCTGTAGGTACAAACTGGAGAAAATCCCTGAAAGGGATCAAAAGTTTGAAAAAATTTCCCCGAATAGGGATAAATCTCGCTTAAAAAATCCCACTCCCCAGAGCCATACACCTACCAAGTTGTGTCAATAATCGAAGCTTTTACTTACTGGTTCATGTCACCTAAGTTACTTGATAATCCAAGCACACCAAGTGTCAGTTGACTTAGGTTGAGTAAGTAGGCCTATCAGAGGATTGCCCTCAAATGAGGCCTAGGCTAACTGACGTACAACTTGGAGCTCAGGCCTATTGAACTGAATTAGGCCTAAGTTACCCTACCCTATCTTATTTGTTGCAATGGACAACATGTTTTCTACTTTACATTTCCGGATATCATAGTGACATTTTAGAGTCAATAAGTTAGGCCTAAGTTAGGCTACTCACTTCAAACCGAGTAGGCCTAGGCCTCTAGGCCCCACAAATAAGTTGCTAGAACAGTTTATGTTACTGGCTCGGAAGTAGCTCAAACATTATTAATTAACATTGCTTAAATGGAACGCCTTAACCATAAGCTATAAGTTAATGCTATAAGTTAATCCGCCACAAAAGTAGTAGTAAAAGTATATTTAGACATTTTTTAATGGTTTTATAGTGTTTATATGTAAATAGTAACATGACGCAATCTATCCGACATGTCGGTCAACGATGTAGAAGACAAGTATTCAAGTAAGTAAGTAAGTAGGACTGATGACAATACTCTGTAGACACCTAGAATAAATTGAAATTATCAACATCCTGGCAGAGTCTTCCCTTAGTAATGCAGTTGCCTGGTTCTCAGCCAATAAACTGTTTTGTAATGAAACTAAAACTCAAACTAACTTAATCTTATAATTTACTTTAAGTTTAACGCAGAGGATACGCGTCCGGTAACCAGACGTGGATTAGGCGTCCGGCAGTTACTCATAACCTAACCTAACCAACCAAACTTGCTGATAATGAAAAAAATCAAATGAAGGTTCAATTCTCTTCATAACATAAAATTATAAATGCCAAAAATTCTATCAAAAGATGTAGGTACCTACAGTTAGGAAGAAATTACATTCAAAGCAAAATCTGTGACAAATAGTTAAAGCAACCGATGGGTTTCGAACCAGGGACCTCTCGGATATCAGCCGAGCACTCTATCCACTACACCATGAACAACGCTGGCCGAACATCGTATCGTTGTGGTAATGGCGTTCCGGGACCCCACAACCCGGTGACGTCACTGCCGGACGCCTAATCCACATCTGGTTACCGGACGCGTATCCTCTGTGTAAGTTTAAACAAAGATTTAGAAAATACAGCCTTAAAACTTTTGGGGATAACGTAAATATTGATTCAAAATTAAAACTGGGGATGCCATATGGAACATGTATTTAAAAAAAATTCTTCGCAGTATCGGAGTGAATCAAAAGTACAATAAGTTAAGTACTGTAGCCTAGGCCTTATGTATGAACATCTAATACGATAATATAACTTTTTGCCGGTTTTCTGCAGAACTGTACGCCCCAGCAACGCAATGGCAAAGGTTTTTTGCCTGCCAATAGCAGGTTGCCGCATCTTGTCATTTCAGCAATGTTAAACATTGTTGCCGTGGAAAGTCCGTAGCCTATTACGTCAGGTGTTGTGTCCCAGCTATTGTTTTTTTTTTTATGTGTTGGACGTAACAAACATCCTCTTACATCTGTAAACCGACCATCGACAGTAATTTTGTTGGAACAATTGAACAATTGTTTTTTTTTCAAAATGGTGTTCGTCGAATCTGTTAGGGCGTTGCCTCAATGATACCAAAAAGTGCTATTTTAATAACAAGGAGTTCGCTGTAACAGGCTAGTCTGACAACAATTGTCGTGCGGTAACCCTGCTATTCATCCTTTGATGTTAGCCTATATCATAGAGATGCAGGAATTTGAAATTTACTATATTTAACTTAGTTCCATTCATCTACTATAGGCCTATTACAATAATTGGCTCTCTCCCAGGGTTTTTATCTCTCCAAGCCAAACGTTTATTTTTATTCTGGCTATGTTTTTCAGTTGTGAGAAATTGTGCCTTCACAATGAATGCAGCGGTAACCAGTTATGGGACTAACACTTTTCCAAAAATGAATGAACAAGTTTTCCAACAGCTTGACTTAACAGGAAAATTAATCATTAAGGTAAGTGTGGGATTTGAGTATTGTTATTGTTAGCTTAAATGTCCAATTCCCAACCTGCGACTGTTACGACTCTAGTCCCGAGGCTGTAGCCGCCCGTCTTAGAGTCGCACGGCTCGAGACGCTTGTCTTATTTCCTATGCTGCGACTCCCAAGACTAGTGAATAGTGCGATTGCATTCTTGATCGTCATGGAATAAGTACAGTTGGCAGCGAATATATTACTGGAGAAGAGGAGGAAAAGGAAATGTTAATGTGCAATTGGTAAAAAACAATGAACAACCTAAATACATTGTTCATGGTACGGCGAAAAGAGGGGTTTCAGAGTATTCTTATTCAGAAACATCTTCTTCAAAGTAAGTTATTGGGGGTGCTTGGGGTTGAAAACATATGGGTGGTGACGAACCATTTCCATCAACTTTGAATCTTCAATGTTTCCCTCCCTTTCAATAGCTTTTTATTATTGCAGATACATAATCTAACTGCCACAAACTGTTCCCACACTCCGCTCTGCTCACCTTTACCACTTCCTTCATCACTTCTAATGACGTGGACCTGTTTCCCTCCCTTCCCATAGCACTTAAATATTGCAGATACATTAATCTAACTGCCACAAACGGTTTCCAAACTCCGCAATGCTCGCATTTACCACTCAGAGGTGCCAATCCCCCCCAAACCCAGTGGCACAATCCCCCCCCCCCCCCAATTTATGCTGCCCTCTATTTCAACAACCTACCCTCCCCCCTCCAATTTACCTGGCAATTTCCCCTTTACCGAATAAAACGAGCATTTCAAGTATTTAGTAAACTTGAGGTAAAGAAAAGCAAACTTGCTGATAATCACTTATTAAGTGGTTCTTTAACTCCACCATCGTCAGGCTTACAAAAGGATCCACTTTTGGAGGTGTCGTCAGAATAAAAAAAAGAACAAAAAACTTGAAACTCTAACAGATAGGCCTATCAATTCACGCATGTGCATTGCCGCGGGCAGAACTGGAAGTAAACTGAACCAGGCTATGGCAGACCGACAAGGTCTCTGGATTGTCGCCTTATCTACAGCTTAAGCTTATATTGGACTAATTGTAGTGTAGTGACGGAATCTGAACGGATCTTTTGTAGATAGATATCTGTTGAAGGGATTCATAATTCAGTTTTCCAAAATTATTGACAATAATAACCAATTTATATGCTGGATATTTTGATGGCATCAAAATTCTACATTACTGAGGGAAAGGAAATTTATTAATTAGCCTACTTTAGAAGAGTTTGAAAAAGCCTATTTATATACATAATACTAGGGACAGCACACAAATTTTGAATGAAAACACTTGATTAATTATGAATCCAATTATATTTTCAACACTCTTCTCAGTCACTACAATAGTCCAATATCAGCTGTTGAAAACGCAGACGACAATCCAGAGACCACGTCGGTCCATCGTAACCTTAACCTGATTCAGTTTACTTCCAGTCTTGCCGACGGCAATGTACTTAGCGTGAATTGATAGGCCTATCTGTAATTGTTTTGCGTGAAACGTTTGTAATGTACTCTGACGACACCTCCAGAAGTGGATATTTTTGTAAGCCTGACGATCGTGGAGTTTAAGAACCGCCAAAATATATTTAGCAATTAGTAAGTAAAATTTGACCCTACCGTACATGTTTAGGATTGTCTAACAAGGTGCGTTTTCACCATTCTTAGAAGCAATCTTAATTACGAATGGCAAAATGTTGTTGGTGTTGATAGCGAACTACCGTACTTAGAAAAACTTTTTCAGGCTGCTTATACAAAATTATACATTCATTATGACAGCTAGCAAAAAAATATCCCCCCCCCAAAATCCCCCCAAAACAGCCCCCCTCCAAAAAAAATGACACCCCTGTAACCACTTACTTCCTACGATGTGGACCTGTTTCCCTCCCTTCCCATAGCATTTTAGGATTGCAAATACATTAATTTAACTGCCACAAATGGTTTCAACACTCCACACTGCTCGCCGTGACTACTTGCTTTACCACTTCCTACGTCATGGACCAGTTGCCATCCCTTCCAATAGTATTTTAATAGTTCAAATACATTAGGCTAATCTAAATGCCACAAATGGTTCCCAAACTCCGAAATGCTCGCATTTACCACTTCCTAAGACTTGGACCTGTTTCCCTTCCTTCCCATAGCATTTTAGGATTGCATATACATTAATCTAACTGCCACAAATGGTTCCCACACTGCGCACTGCTCGCCGTGACTACTTCCTCTACCACTTCCTATGTCATGGACCTGTTTCCCTCCCTTCCAATAGCTTTTTAGAATTGGAGATACATTAATCTAACTAACTGTTCCCACACTCCGCTCTGCTCCCCTTTACCATTTCCTTCACCAACTTTCTTCACCACTTCCAACGACGTGGACCTATTTCCCTTTCTTCCCATAGGTTAGCACTTAGCAGATACATTAATCTAACTGCCACAAACGGTTTCCGAACTCTGCAATGCTCGCATTTACCACTTCCTTCACCACTTCCTACGATGTGGACCTGTTTCCCTTTCTTCCCATAGCATTTTAGTATTACAGATACATTTGTATAACTTCCTTTTTAAAGGGTTCCCACACTCCGCACTGCTCGCCTTTACAACTTCCTTCATCACTTCCTACGACGTGGACCTGTTTCCTTCCCTTTCCATAGCATTTAAGTATTGAAGATACATTAATCTAACTGCCACAAATGGTTCCCACAATCCGGACTGCTCGCCTTTACCACTTCCTTCACCACTTCCTACCTGTTTCCCTCCCTTCCCAAAGCATTTTAGTATAGAATAGACTAACATTAAATTGAACAATGTAAAAAGCTGCTTAATAGTAAATATATACATACATATTTGTGATGTAAAGGTGAGTTTTGTTACTGTATATAACTGCCGACTAATATTGTTCAATCATGGTTCAATATATTAATCTGGAAATTGTAGAATTATAATCTCATATCATTGACTGTCGTTAACAAGTTCAATAAACGTTTTCAAGCAGCCGAAGTAAAAATAGTGGAATTGACCCAATCTCAAATGAATATTAAATTAGATCAGTCAATTAAACTACACCAAAGCACAACAATAAAAATGCAAACTATTGAACATAAATGCCGAATTGAAAATCAACGCATCCTGCAATAAATAATTCATGAAATTGAGACAAAGAGTGACAAGTCAAGGTCAAACCTTTGAAAATTCCCTCCAATATCAAACATCCCAAATAACCAATTATCTCGAAAAAAAAAAAAATTTGAAGAACAATCTAAAACCATGTTAACTCAAATCCAAAATCACTATCAAATAATGAAGAAACAAAATGAAGGTGAATTAAATCAATCTATACTGGATCTGGAAAACAAAATGATTCCACAAATCAAACGAAAGACGAAACTGATTCACTCAACCAGCAACAAAACAAAATCAGCCGATTGACAGACACAGTAAACCAAATTTCACAACAAAATTTTTAAACAACACTACCACACAATGGAAACACAAATGTTATCCATCCAAGCAGTGACCCGATTACCCGATTCTTTCTAACCGGACATTACCAAAATTTAATGGGAAAAGTCACAATCCTAATGAATTTTTATTGAAATTGAAACAATATTATGACAGGAGTGCACAGCACTATCTAAATTCATCTGATGCGGCTGAAAATCTCAGAGAAATTACTGAAGTAAGCCTTGAGCATCATGCAGCGAGATGGTTTCAGCTCATCAGGGAAGACATATACGATTGGGAAAGTTTTGCAACTAAATTCCGCCTGAAATATTGGAGCCGTGACGTGCAGCAGTACATCAAGAGAAAAATTGAAGCAGAACGCTACAAATCAAAAGGCAGTTTATCACAAGCAGATTTTTTCATAGAAAGGGCCATAACACTGCAATCTATGTTGACCCCACCCATACCAGAAACGAAATTGTTTAATCCTGTCTGAATGTTTTGACCAACTGATAAATGACGCAAGAGCCGTGCAGAACATCACTACCATCAAGGGATTTATTACTTCATTATTGCTCGTGATAAACTGCCGTTTGATTTGTAGCGTTCTGCTTCAATTTTTCTCTTGATAGTCTGGCTGCAGGTAAAAAAACCTGGAAGTAAGGTCCACCCAATGTTTTTTAGTGGTTTATGTTTCTTCAAGACCTACATAATTAAAATAGGCAGGGTGCCACTATTTATCCAAATGCTGAATTTGTGACACAAAAGCTGAATGTTTACAGCTGTTATGTTAAGCAAATTATTTTACGCCAAAAGCTAGTTTAGAATTTTAGCGTCGGCTGCTAGACTTTTTAAAAATTAAAACTTGATTTCAAAAAAACTGGGACCCTAAACTAAAATTATGGCTTCGACATTCCCTAGTTCTCAAAATTATCTTTCTTTCAACACAAAAATCATGAAAATCCGTCGAGTGGTTGATTCAGAATCGTGAAATAAAAAAACACCGTTTCGTTTTAATATTATAGATGGCGGCCAAGATGGCTTAAAAACTGTATATCTGCTGTATCTTTCCCTATAGAAGAGACAGGATAATCATTTTGTGCCTATAGTTTGAGGTTTTAATTGGAAAATTACCCGAAATAATAAATCAATATAAGTTTTTAATAATTTCCACATTAATTTATTGCCAAGTTACCTTATCAACAATGTTTTCAAGTATTTACTTGACTAAACACATTATAAATTTATGGTTTCTGAGGATAAGTGCAAAATTCAAACATGACCTCTCAAAACTGACCTCTATTTTATATTTAAAAACTCAGTTGGATTTTCTAGATGGGTGTCTCCGCCTTCGTCTGTTTTCGAGGACCCACTCTTCTTCCCCTTGGTATACTGACAATTAATTACCTGACTTGTCAAGTTCATGTAGTAATTCAATAATACTGTTAGTTTATAAAGAAAATTAGATAAAAGTTACTTGGCTTGGTGCTTTCATATCTGCAAACTCAAAATACACCCACAAGTAAAAAAG